TGGTTTATCATCAGTCTTGTCAGGGTCTGGTTTATCATCAGTCTTCTTAGGGTCTGGTTTATCATCAGTCTTCTTAGGGTCTGGTTTATCATCAGTCTTGGTAGGGGCTGGTTTATCATCAGTCTTGGTAGGGTCTGGTTTATCATCAGTCTTCTTAGGGTCTGGTTTATCATCAGTCTTAATTTCATTTCCATTTTTAATATTGCCTTTATTTCCTGTATAACAGACTCAATTGATTAATAAGTATGCAATACAGAATACAGATTTTAATGAGTGATGCTGTTGATGTTTTCAAACTTTCAATTTCCAGAACAAGGATGCAATTCAATAAGCATGTGCACTGCAAAGTATSAATTTAAAACAGAAACTCATAAGGYGGTTGCAGGGCTCAAACTAAAGGCCGGTCAACGGACAATGACCAGCCAAAATAAGCACTGGCCGGCCAAACGTCCTTTATGCAGGACATCATGTTCGGTCAAATCTATGAGATGAAGAGAAACTATCGAAAAAACTAACAAACACTTCCAATTGAATCGAATTGAATTTTAAATCTTATTTAATTAAAATGCCCAACAYTTTTACATGATTTTAAACATTTTTATCTTAGAAAGATTTCCTTATGTTTTATCAATAGATTTATCTTCTTTTAGTGTAAATTTCTCCATTTTTAAACTATAATTCACATGAAAACATGTTCCATCATCCATCATTTTGTTTTGCATCATTTCCATGTTAAACCTGTTGTTCCTAGGTAACATCTGTTCGTTCTCAGTAGGTGTTATGAATTCTCGCGTAATGTTCCAGTTTTTCCAAAAAAAAATCATTTTCAAACAACCAACACAGTTTTATTTTTATGAAGGAAAAACTCAAATTGTAATTTTACCGACTACAGACGGGTGGTACTTCAGGACTGGAACGAGACGCATATCATTGTCTTTTCCCCCATAGCATGCTAATGGTAAGAAGTTGATCTATTTCGCGTAGTGCTGACTACAGGCTACAAAATCCTTCGCTATATTCACACAATATCTTCGCACAAAACTGTCACACACAACTTAAAAAACTATACAGATTTCTATCTCTATAATAAATTTTTTATGTAAATGCTGTGAAAATGAAAAAATGCACCAATTAACGATTTCTACCYCCAGTTCGGGTCGAAGTAGCCAACGAATTAAGAGAAATTAAATATTTAGTTTGACACAATTTTCTTGTAAATTAGCTAGCAAAATTTATCTCGTCCATGCAACTATGATAATACGCACATCAGTTTGCAGCAGCACTATTTTGAGAGAGTGAAGTGTGCGTTATACACGGACGAATACAGCATAATACAAATAGATAAATTTACGTTTTTTATATTGATTCAGTTATTATATATATTTTTTACCATTAGTTTGACCGGCCAATAATGAGGTATGTCYGGTCAAAAATTAATTTGGACGGTCATCATGTCCGGCCACTAACCAGCCGTTATTTTGAGCCCTGTAGTTGTAACATATAACACTATATGCATGCTCCAGAATATTGAGATATTACAAATTAGGAGTTTTGATACCATATTTAGATTTTTAAGCTTGATTCAAGATGGCTGCTTATATAGTATCATATGYCAAATGTTTCACTGATTTTCCTGACTTTCAGACAAAATTTACTGAATTTTTCAATGAATTATTTCAGATATATGTCTTTAATCTAGTTTCGGCAATTTTTAAAGCAAGAGGATATGGTTATTGGAAAAGAAATTCGTCAAGAAAAATTTAAGAGAAGTGTTAGGAGAAGCACGACATGTAGCCAAGTGCTTCTCAAAACCTCTTGAGTGTTCTGCCAATCTCCAATACTTTATAACTCCACACAGCACAGCAAGCAAATTATTATTTTTTTTATAAAGTAGAAATTGCAATACATGTGCTGCATGCTCTCATAAAGTATGCTCTCCCAATCAATCAGAATGCGATATTTATGACAAATACATATTAGTASTTTCATCTTGTAAACATGACTTACAACATTGCTGGCAGTTTTTTGATCACGTCATTAGCCAATGACTTTTTGGGGGGATGGGTGTACTGYTCATCTGAATTGGGTTACAATCCTTATCAAAATGAACCAATCAATATTAAAGATCACACACCTTCTTTTTGCTCCGGGTTTAAGGCAGCATTCATATCTATACCACCTTCTTCCTTACCAGGCATAGGTTCTGCAAGTCTTGGCTTTCTTATTGTCCAATACTCCTTTAAAATGTCATCCATGGGTAACTTCCCTTCTTTCTTTTTAATCTGTGGACTGTCTTTTGCATTTCCTTTCCTTTTACTATTATTGGTTTCCACAGATCTTCGTATTCTGAACATCAAATTGTTCTGTTTATCCTGCAATTGTTTACATTTTTTTTCACAAGTGTTTTTCTCATCAAACCTATTCTCATTTCCTTCACATCCTCCGTACACAAACGTTTCACACTGGCGTGAGGTAGCATTGTAAAACCACATTTCAAAGTATGCTCTGCATGGTCCTTCTTCTGGTGGTAAACTACAAATATCTAAGGAATAATAATAAAATATGAAGGTTCTTCTTATATAATATATAAGAATTTCTATGTATTTACGATAAACTGTTTTAAAGATAAAACTAAAAAATCTTCAAAACCTTGAAAATAAGCATAAGTAATATATACAGTATGAGTGGCYGTGTTGTATCAGATATACAACCACGAGGCGTAGCCGAGTGATTGTATATCGGATACAACACGGACACGAATACTGTATATGACTTATCAAACGTCTAGGTTAGTTCCTTTGTGTTTCACTAAAATTTTCAAAATTAAAGTGAATTTGGCCAAGAAAATTCAACTTAAAGTTTATGCAAATGAACACAGTTTTGTATCAGATTTACAACACTCTTCACGTTCGTGATTTCTGTTGGGCAGTGTTTTCCTCATTAATTATTAATGAGTTTGATAATGTTCTGTAGAAAATAGTTCTTAAAAAGAAATRTCTTGGGTCTACTTTAAACAATAACAAATGTTAGTCAAATCCAACTAGCAGTCTATCATCAATGCTATGTTCTGATTGGATGAGCTACCAGTAGAATATAAGTTATAGCCTACTAGTAGCGAAAAGTGCTGGCTTTGAAAACCAAAACATTGAATTGTTTGCATCTAAAAATTTGACCGACTAGTTGGATTTGACTAAAAAATAGGATTTGGCTAATTAGAATACATATACAAAGTGTGTTAAATTGATTACAGTAATTAGCGTTTGTCTTATATAGGGTCAAGAATTTCCCTTTAGTTTTAAATAGGGTTGATATACTACAGTATGTACATAACATTATCAAATGGGATATGTTATTTCAAGACTTTTTTTGCCATAGATAGTTTAGGGTCATTCTATACGCTAACTCCACTCATRTGCTGAACGTAATTGATGAATTAATTATGGAAAAAGAGCTGTAATCAGCTGCCACTCCAGCGACAAATAAAGCAGCAAGCCCTGTCAAGCTTAACATGTTTGCTGTTCCAAATTGAAAATGAAATGCTGGACCAAACTGATTGATACACCACTCTTTTTGAGTGAAGTATTGATGGTTTTCAACCATTCCCAAGAGAATTAAATAACAAAAGGCAYGACGGCCATGTTGGAGGATATAACRAAAGAATTCATTGACAATTCTTTTGTTAAGTTCCTCCAACATGGCCGCCATGAAAACCATCAATATGTACCTGTTATTGGCCTAATTTAGTTCAACAAGTTTGGTGTTTAAATCAGCAGTACCTTCAAAACRATTTTGAATTAAACCTAACTGTATTAGGTTCTACACATGAGTAGTGGTGTATATATGAAATAGGCCCTAAGTAGCACATCGTCAATGAAACCAGGCCAATAGCCCCTTTCCCCTCCCTGCTCAGGTAGATGGCCAAGAGATATATTTATGCATCTAAAGTGTCTGCCTTATCAAAATAAGATTGCTTCAATGTTTAATGTATCATCAACTGACACAGTAAATAAGCTTGATTCATAGTTATGACTTTGACATTGTCAAGTATTCATCGGTAACTCTGCTAGAATAACAGTATTATTTCAATAARAATCTAAAATTTTACGACCAAAGYTACTTTTCAAACCCAAATTTACGCAAAACAACTATTAGTTGAAGTGAACTTCATCACACCTAAAAAGATATCCCAAATTAACGTATGAAACTTCTATTTAAAAAAACGTAAACACACACAAAAAAAATGCATAAAGGCATTTCAAAAGTCAATAGGATTATGTCTTYGATATAATCGCAGAATGCGTTCTATATCTTCAGATTTATGAGATTTTTTAAATGATTTTTATGAGGTTTATATTTGGTAAGTGATGCGATGTCAAGTAAGCTTAACGTGCAGACTTCAAGTGGAGCTCGAAATATCGAATAAAAACCAACATAATCACCAAAAAAGATATTTACAGCCAAAATACTTACCTCTGCTATTAGAGGGACTCTTCCTAGATGCTGGAATACTCCAGGAACAACAAAACAAGCCCAATAAAACAGAAAAAAGAAAGRCTTTCATTCTCAAAGACTCAAATGAGTCACTCGTGACTTCACACGTTCAACTTTTCCGCGTTAAATTTTTGGACAAATTTACCAAAACTTACGAAACTTATTTCTACTATACGAAAATTCCCCTCATAGTAGAAACTCTAGGAGTAACTTTTGTAGTGTTTTTGACAGTTATTTGAATAAATAATTAGCAGAAAAACCAAAAAATAATCCGTACTTTTTTCTGCTGATGAAGTTTGCAACGTTGATGTGCGTCCCTCGCCCTAGGGTCCCTAGGAGAAATACGAACGTGGAGAACTGGACACTACTCTCCTCAACTTCTCTCAAAAGGCTATAACACAGGAGCCCCAAATTTTAAAAAAAGTTTCCAAGAAAATCAAAGCGGCAGCCGATTGCCTCTCAGCGGCCTTGACTCTCGACTGGACACCAGCGTAGGGATAGAATTTGCCCGCCCCCATCCCCCAGTTTGCTCTCGGCACCAAATTTTGATTGATGGCATGCGGAATTTCCTATGGATTTGGCGGGAAAATGGTACATTGCCTATCCTCGCCTCTCTTATGATCGAGACTTGCTACGCCCGTGTTCCTGGACTTGGTTTCGCAAGYGAGTAGAGTTTGTTAGATATTTTCCTTGATTCGTGGATTTTTCACCGGGTTCTCCACCATTTTCCTCCCTTCGTAAAACTTCGATTGTGCGGCTTGGTGAAGTGTCTCGATAGCGCAGCTTTCGTATGTCTGTAAAAAGATCAATGTATGTGCCTTGCAGCAACCGTGATGTTTTCTTTAATTTTGATTGGCTGATTTTTTCGAGCAGTGTGATTGATCTGGCGTTTGCCTTGCTGACGAAAACAGCTCTATATATAGTGAACCATCTTGTGGCGCTGATTTTTTCTGAAAGTCAAAGGAGTACGCGCATGCGCGGAGACGAACCGACTAGCGAAATAAAAGAGACTGGTAAGTTATAATGCGGTATTCCCTTTACTTGTTAAGATATAGATTTCAAAATCAGTTAGTGAGAAAAGTAGGTTCAGTTCTGGACTAGCATAGATCTGAGCTGGATCTTCTCAAATTTCCCATGGTAACATGTTAAAAAGAAATCTCCTTTTCTATCAAAGTATTTTATTCGCTTTGTTTATAATTATAACTTAATTCCCATTTGGCTCTATGTACATTACATCTTAAAGATGTTTTGAAATACTATCTTTGAATATTACAGCTTTTGAAGCTAAACGTTTTTGTCGCCATGCGATCTGATTTTATGCCATTTATAAAATTCCTTATGAAAATTTTTGTTATATTTACGTTATAAAAAAATAAAAGGATTCAAAAAATTCTTATCTATATTAATACAGAATACAAAAATACGCACACTGTATTGCATGAAAGATACAACATACAAGACAAAATTGCTTTAACGCCGGAAACAATATTTTAAACGATGCTATAGCATACACACGAAAGAAAGTTGCACGTACACAATCAGTAAAACGTCTAAACATATGTTAAGGCGTACACACGATAAAACATTGCGCATTTAATATACTAGTCTCCTACGAAGCCGTTATCAGTGTTGTCACGCAACGCTCACTCCCCTTACTCAAACGCACCAATAAATGTAGTAGTTTAACCGAGAACCAATCACATTAAGCCAAGTTAAGTAGGCGATGTCGTTTGGCGATGGGGTAATGCACAAGTCCGTTTCTTTACATCAAGCAACATATTCTGCGGAAATAAATGTCGACATCATATAATCACGTGTTAGAATTCACATACACAAACGAAGAGAAGTTTGAGAACAGAGGGCTCAGCGGCACATCCCTACCCTAAACGGGCAAGAGTACCCCTCCCCCCCCCCCGGGATTTTCACATGTACAAGAGGCTAGTCAGTTGCTATATTTCTAGTCAGTCGCTATATTTCTAGTCAGTGCAGAATAACAGTTATTCAAATTGGTCACCATATTTTGATTCAGTGTATCATCATATAGTGCAGTTAATTATATAAGATCATTGCATACTTGTCATTAACGGTCTGGCCTCATCCACATTCATCGCCAGTGTACGAGGGTTCATTGTATCACTGCTTCTTCTCCCAGTAACTATCTCACAAAGCTGCAAAAAACATTCCCAACATTAATAATTATTTTACCATTATTGCAAATTTCCTCGATTTCTGATTGGTCTAGAGCCGGGGGAAGTAGGAGGACATACGAATAAATTACATCAGCATATCACACAAGCTTGAAACTCAGTTTTTCTTTCAAATTTTACCCTTGTTTTTGTAGTAAATTTTTTAATTTTTTGTGTTTAAAAAAAAAGCAATTTTCTCTAGTTTTCTGTGTTATTTCCTCTTATTTACCATCATTTTCGTCAACTAGTCATCAAAATGTTGTAGACTCACGAGGCGTAGCTGAGTAATTGCTTTATGTTTAGTTAATTGTTGCTGTTAAAAGAGCACTAACAAGTCTTAAAACAGCCCTACATCAACCCTGGTATGTTCATAAACTAAATACATAATTGTTTTTGGTCTTTCTGTAATAACAATAACTGTTGCAACAATGTTTAACATTCCTGACATATTTTAGGTGTTCACAGTTTTCTTACTTTGACTGCAACTTTTTCCCCCATAAAAGGCAATGGCATAAGAAATGAAAATTAATTTGAAAGAGAAAAATACCTTTTTTCTGGTGAGGAACAGAATAACAAAGGCAGAGAAGACCAAAAGACAAGACAAAATGATGACGGGAAATACATTGGAGTCTTGTTCATCATCTTTATAATTCCTTGTTCTATGGCTCCTTGATCTATCAATGAAAAATAGGCAAATACGTTTGATTTTATYATCATCATCTTCATCATCATCCTCATTATCATCTTCTTCATCATCCTCATCATCATCATCATTATAAACTTTATTGAAGCCAACTTATAACTTCCAACATCCTCATCCTCATTATCATCTTCTTCATCATTACCATCATCCTCCTCATCATCATCATCATTATCATCATCATAAACTTTATTGAAGCCAACTTATAACTTCCAACATCCTCATCCTCATTATCAACTTCTTCTTCATCATTACCATCATCCTCATCATCATCATTATCATCATCATAAACTTTATTGAAGCCAACTTATGACTTGCAACAAGTCAAAGTGAAAAACAGAAATGGAGTTGGAATAGGCCCTTTGCATCTCAGTAATCATGTGCTGATTAATTCACTGATAGCAAATGAATGAACATCTTGATTCCCATGGGTAAAATATACTGGTGAGCAAACAAACTTTCTACAACCTGTTTCGAGAGATCGTAATAAAACTGCATTTCGTGACACACTGGTTACACATCCTTTCATTCAGTTCTTTACAAGTATTAAAAAAATTTTTTTTWAATTTTGCTCACAAGTACAGACACATGACCGTTAACTGCAAAGAATTAGAATTAGAGTAAGATCAAGTGCATCAGATTTTACCCTGCTAGCAGAGGTCTTCTTCTGCCTTGCCATTCAGCCCTAAGGAGAGGAAGAAAAGCCAACCCCTGCTTGCAGGGTAATCAGATTCTGAACCAGAAAGATTGAAGGGTTTCCTTTTTCTCTTATGCTAATTTTTATGATTCGTTTTTACTTGCAATACCACTAATAAACTGCTTGCAACTGCATCACTTCAACTCTGACTCCGACTCCATCACAAGTGAAAACCGTATCCTATTCCATAAAATGTGAAGGTTATTTTACATGCACATATAAGTGTCTTGATTATATCAAAACAAGTACATTATCACTTACTTGTATAAACCTCTATTATCATCATGATATCCATGGCTTCTCCATRGATCAGTGATGACTTGGTACCTGTGCGTTGTCCAAGGTCTCCAAGGGGTTCTGGTCTTGAGCGGGTACCTCTCTGATGGGAACCCCCAGTAGTAATCATCTTTTGATTTTTTTCGTGTATCCATGTAATTTTTGGTCTTTTTACTAGCAGATTGCTCATCAACATCTGATTCCTTAAATTCATTCCAGTCGTAGCTTTTATCTCTGTAGTAGGGGTTGGCTGTAGTTATTTTATAGTCTATTTTGTATCCTGTGTACTCGAGATTGAAAGTAGGGGATTTATATTCCCACTTGGGGGCTGGTTTATCATCAGTCTTCTTAGGGTCTGGTTTATCATCAGTCTTCTTAGGGTCTGGTTTATCATCAGTCTT